AAGCCATATACTTAATATAGGGGCCTTAATAATTAGAATAGGGTTTGGGGTATACTGCAGGACCCCCCCCCCCCCCTCCCCCCCAAAAAAAAACACACATCCTAATTATGAAGGCCCCGACACTACCTAAACCCAAAACCCTAAATCAGTCCATCCCGATGCTTGTTGCGGGGCGTCTCTATTCAAAGTATACTACGACTACAACAGTTCATTGTCGAGACTGACATGTTGCAGATCATTGTTCTGTCTTGCGTTTTCGAGTTTAGAGTGCTCCTAGATGCAAAAAGAATGAGTCCCCAAAGCTCTAATCTCCAAGTTCACGCAGCTCTTAAGCCCCCTGGTATAGGCACCTACACAATTGCGCCAACAGGAGAGTCCCCAAACCCTAAAACTTCAAATGTTACTAGATCCGACCTCTCCTTCAGAATGCTAGAATACGGCATTATGGCCAAACATCGAACATAGCTCTCAGCGCCCATATATAACACCTAACTAAGCACTCTTCGCCAAAGTACTAAGCCTCCAACCCTCCGAACACGTGAACCGTAAGTCTTAACTCCTAAACCCCTAGACCCTAATACAGGGGCCTAAATACTTACCTATTCGTCAAAGCCCTATACCCGACTAAACACAAAACATACTCTCAGAACGGAGGACACCTCGCCCATGGACTTTCGAAATTTCCCGGAGCTACACGGCGACATCTCGGCCATCCAGAAGGAGGTGCGGCTTGCGGTATTTATTTCTAGAAGTGTCTTGCAAAGGCTCTGTAAGAGTTACAAAGGTTAGGGGTCAGGGGAGGCCCTCAACCCTCAACCCTGAACCCTAAACCCAGGTGTTGATGGGTTTGGGATGACAAGTTGAGATCACTCGTGGGACTCGGGGCTTGTCGACTTTCGGGCCTTGATCTTTAGGATCTGCAGGATGTGTGTTGGGTGTGCTTTGGGGTTGTTGTTAGTGCATTTGGGATTTTAAGATGTAGGGGCACTGTAGGGGTGTTCTTTCATCTTTGGTGGGTTTCCTTCGGGTTTCGGATGCGCCGCTAGGTCTTGGAGTTGTATGGTCTGAGCTCTTCCAAGCTGCGGATTTCCAGAAGCTCGGGGATCGCCTGGTCCAGGGGCATAAGTAATTACCGATACTACTTCTGGGGGGCTCCTTATTATAGTTTTACTATAGTCTACCCCAAGGCCCTATTCTAACTATTAAGCCCCCTACACTACAGTCACAGAAACGCAGTTGAGTTCATCATCTGGCCAGAAGTATGTTCATGAGGTCATGTTCATTGGTCTTGCGGTGCCGAAAAATAAATTGGCGAAGATAACAGAGAGGTCGGAATCATATTCCTTAGGGTTCCTTCTTGTACTATAATACAGCCCGAAAACCAAGTTCCCTAAACCCTAAACCCCAAAACCAAGTTCCCTAAACCCTAAGCCCTAAACCCCGAAACCAAGTTCTAACTACTGAGGCTCCTATATTACCTTCGGGCTCGAGGGATCACAGTGCCCATGCCCGCAGCCCTAAAGCCTCAAACCCGAAACCCTCAACCCGAAATCCGACCGTTTAGGGTTTAGGGTTTAGGGTTTAGACTGATTGGAGAGAGCTCCGGGTTCAAAACAAGGGGTCTAAACCCTAAGCCGCCCTAAGTGCCACGAGGTCGTCGGCAATCCGATGTACGACCCTGCTGGTATGCTCGTGGGCCTTGTAGCCATGAGCGCTGACGAAGAGCAGGTGTCTCGTCTGCTTTCCTGGACCCCCCAAAGACTTGGGTTTAGGGTTTAGGGTGGGAGTTTCCGAAAGCAAGGGGTACCTTATTTTGGGGTCCTTATAACAAGGGTCCTACTATTCAGGGTAGTATAGTAGGGTCCCCTATTTTCGGAAACCCCCACTTGGGAAACTCAAGAAATAGGGGATGCCCTGACATAGACGGCATGTAATGGGAGCATGATTCAACGGACCTCCCACAGCTTCAACACAAAGCGCCCTTGCACTGATGGGCATCCTGTGAAGCACGGTAGAGCCACGGCCGTCATGTCTCAGACCCTAGGACTGAAGACCATCAGCATTTCGGGTTTAGGGTTTAGGGGTTTAGGGCTTAGGGTTTAGGGGTTTAGGGTTTAGGGTTTAGGGTTTGGGGGTTTAGCGTTTAAGCTAGTGTTAATTACCAGTGTTTGTGTGATTATGGACCTAGAGGCTAGTTCTGGGATTTCATGGTCGGTCTTCGGGGCTCCTTATGTAGGACTGCTGGGAATTCGGAGTGGGTCGCTCAATTTCTCCAACTCGAATGTTGAGTTGCAGGCAGCTCGCCTCCTTCCATTCTTTGGCTATGAAGATGTCAATGGTGAGCCGGCACCCCACACCCTAAACCCTTAACCCCATGACCTTGAAGCCGATGCTAATGTTGACAAACCCGGAGGAATTCTTCACCCTAAACCCTAAACCCTAAAACTTAAACCCTAAACCTTAAACCCTAAAGCCTAAACCCTAAACCCTAAACCTGCCTTGGCGAGTCTGGAGTTCAGGGTCTTCTGCTTCCTTGCGAGGCGTAGGTCCTTCCGAAAGGCTCTCGGCAGTGCTTCTCAGATCCTGAACCCTAAACCCTCGGTTCACCATCCTAAACCCCGAACCCCCAAACCCAACTAAACCCTAAAAAGTCGTAAACCCGAGACCCTAACCCCAAACCCTACTAAGCCCTAAAAAGTCGTAAACCCGAAACCCGAAGCCGCGACGCCGCAAAATCCTCAAAATCTCAACTTCTCGGAGCTCCCAGGCGTCGAAGCTTGCGATGAAGCTCTCGAACACGGAGTCCCTGATTTCGCCGGAGGACCTGGGCATCAATATAATATAAACTACAATATTTAACCATTATCGTCGTCATGATTATATAAGATTAGCAGTAATAGCAAAATCATAAGCATAGCAACACTATAGCAATGAGAATGATAGGAATAACAGTCGTAACAATACTAATTATTGATGACAGTAACAGGTACAAGGGGCCATGAGGGCTCGCATGACCTTTCATAGTTGGGAAGCCCGATATACCGTACTTCAACGCACTGCCCACCAGTGGGTAACAACGAAGAATAATGTATCACAAAAAACCCTATTCCAATTCAATTCCTGAGACCCCCATTCTAGCCGATTTTGCCAGGGACGCACATACTTGGGAGTCAAGCCTGGAGCTCTCGAACGTTCGTGTGCCAGGACCGGACACTAGCGATGAAAAACGCCTATGCTGGCCAAGGACAGTTCGGGGACCGTAACGAGTAGCATGCAATCGGAGCCCTTGCAAATCGAAGCAATCCAGGATGGGTTCTTGCTTTGCGTGCCTGTCTCATTCTTGAATGGCAAGCCCTTTCGGATCTGTGGCATGAACCAGCAGCCCAGTACAAGCACCAGGGTTCACGAGCACTGCTTCAGCAGTGAACCAATCAGGGTTCCAAGGAGTGTTAATTGGGTGTCAGCTTACAGATTGTGCTGACCGCACCGTGCTTCGATGGTCTCTTGTTCAAGATTCTTCTCCAGCCGCATTCCCATATTGTAGTATGCAACTGAGAAGGGTTGCAGTCTTTATACACTACCGGGCGCTACTGCCCTTCTATTTCGCAGTACACAGTGTTTTGACGTGTGGAAACTCGGCGATGTTGAGTTAATGAACTTCACAAGTTATAGGTTTGGGTTGCAAGGGTTCGGGTTGCAAGGAGTTTGCCATACCTAATGTCGCGACGTGAGTGATTAGACTAGGGTGTTGGGGTCTAACTTTTGTATAGCTACACTCAACATACCAGGCAGTAAGCCCTCCTGCTACGTTCTATGCTGCTGATGCCGTCTTAAGTCTCAATCTGATATACCAGAGTACACTATAATATACTGTTATCGACATATACGATCATATTCCCAACATACTAGAGCAAGTTATCATATACTACAACATAGAAAGGCATATCGTAATGTGCTCTAGTATGTGATCACAAGTAGCAGCGTGAAGGGAGCAGACTGCACTGCCAGGAGCTCAAGCCCTGGTCCCCTGGCTGCAACGAACCGAAGGTTGGGAATACTTAGTAATCAAAGGTTTATAGGGGTTTAGGGTTTGGTTTAGGGTTTAGGGGTTTTGGGTGTAGGGGATTTGGGTTCAAGTCATAAATCAGGAGTGAGTTTCAGTGCTAGTATCCCTGGGCCCGCAGAGTGTGAACAAAAGATTCGGAACGGGATAAAGACCTTGTTTTGTGGTACTGCTGAAACGAAGAGAGGTCAACAGTGACGGCGATGAAAGCCAGACTGTTGCACTACCGAACAACATCATACATACTGGGTCAAGGTACTCGACCTGAATGAGACAGCGAAGGCTTCAGGTTCGGGTACAGGGCCAGGGAAAGCCGGTGCATCCTCAGCATGTGCAGTTGTTGTAATAAGAACCCATCGAGCTTTGATAAAGTCACTTGCATAACCTGGCAATCAAGGTTTCGATGCAGGTCGAGCTCATGAAATCGTGGCAACGAGATCTCAGGGCTCTAAGTCCTAAAACTCTTGTCCAGAATCCCAAACCTGAAGCGCCCCCAATCCCGAAGACGCTCGGCCCGGAACCCAGACTCAGCTTGCACCGGCAAACACACGAAACGATGCCAAGGTGGACATCTTCTTCGCCGAGAAGGAGGTGCGCGGCATGCGAGGGATGTCGTGCATCGATATTTGGGGTTAGAGTAATCGATTTTAAAGGGTTTCGGGCAGGTTTGGAATGTTGGCCAGGGAGTCCCTTGCTGCCAAATCGAATCAAGGTGGGATGGTGATTTGATTAAGGTTTATGAATTTGGGAGTTTCAGAAAAATAAGGGGTACCGTATTTTGGGGTCCTTATAATAAGGATCCTACTATTTGGGGTACTCTATTAGGGTCCCCTATTATCGGAAACCCCCATTTGGGTCGAGTTCGTTCAGTCCCGCTTGGTCATGGCGATTGAATACCCAGTGGACGGGAAGGGTCCGTCTGAACGACGAATGATAGAAGCGATTCTGGCTGAGGAGAAGATTACCCGTGCTGCGACCTTGAGCACAGAAGTGCGCAACTTGTCCGAAGGCATATCCTTTTCAAAGACCACAACGGCAGATAGAATCACCTATTTGGGTTAGAGGGCCCCTGTAAGTGCCGTTCCAGCAAGCTTAGGTCTGTTTGTTCCCTATACTTTCACATTCCCCAAAACCCCAAGCCCTACACTCTGACTGAAACCCTACAAGTGGTGGTTACGGCATGTTAAGATGGTTGTGCATCCCAAACTCTCATGCAAGCCGGGTCCTAGATGCCGTCAGGAATTCTCAGCCCCTGCGTTTTGGTTTGTTAGTGTTTCGGAGTTAAGGTATGACTTGCTTGAACCCCTAAACCCTAAACCCTGATTGCTTTGACTCTGACCTCGGATTGGTGAGGTCTGCTCTTTATCACGGATGCTGGAGACGAAGCGGACAATGAAGCCGCGCTCTGGCCACCCGGCACCGGCATATGGTGCATGGGTAGCTGTGCGCATCTGTCTCCGTGTCTTTTTGTTTTGCGTCTAAAGATAAGTACATACATGTGTACATATGTGTATGTATCTATCTATATAGGTATACTTAGTTATATACTTATTTGAATATGTGTGTGGACAATGTTTGCCCTCGTGCCTCTATGCATGTGCATATATATATATATATACACATACAGACATGCATGCATGCATACAAACATTACATACATATGGATATTTATACATACACGTATATATATATATATATTTATTTATTTAGTCATTTATTCACTTCCTCATTTATGTATTCATGCATGTATTCATGTTTTATCTATGTGCTAGTAAATACTGATGCTTATGTTTGTATACACACATAAGCGCAGCATGATTACACAGGCGCGTTCCGTCCAAACATTGGCTGAGGCTTCTTTCAACTCACCTTGAGAACATTGAGGACTGCATGCTGTCGGACACATACAGACCTGCCTGCCTGCCTGCCTGCCTGCCTGCCCGCTGAGTACTTCATGCGGATCTGGCTGATAGCTGGCTTACGTGCACCAGATCATGCAACGAAACCTAGCCCTAGACACGTCCGAGCAGCGCTGACGAAACATCGCACATCTCTGTCAGGAGTTGCGTGTGGATGTCGTTTTTGCGACAGGGAATCCTGCTCTTAGAGCTATGCTCGGGGCTCAGACGATGCCTCTAGCAAAGGACGACGGATTTAGGGACGGTGCTTCGGGACCCTTGAACCGCACGTTGTACATTACACCTGTCAGCCATTGATGATGATACGTGCTCTTGGCCAATGCTGTTGAACCGGGTAGGGCACGGATACCCCAAGCGTAATTACTACGGCTGTTCACAGCTTTCCTGCATAAAGTTGGTGGAGGCTGCAGAACGGCAGTTGCCCTCATCCAGGATGTTCAGTAGGTGTCCAGGTCTCTAGACCTTGGTTTTAGGGTTTGGGAAGCAGAGCTTAAGTATTTTCCGTTCCACGTGAGTTGCTCCTATTGCCACAGCTTTGGTCGTAAGCTGTCCTCGAGGCGTTGGGCGAAAATCCTCAACTCCCTGAAGAAGGAGGACTGACTCCATACGTATGTTGCACACAATAGTCTCGACATGTGTATATATATATATACATATATATATATATATGTATGCTGTAATTTCCAGTAATGTACTTACCTGTTTGTTTGTTCATACAATCATTTGTGTACTGATTTACGGGCTTATTTGTTTCTTTTGTATTTATGCTTATACATATCTTTATGTGTATATATATATATACAGATGCATGTATATATATATATATATGTATGCAAACATATGTACTATATGTGGTATGCAGACTATCTGTCTATGTATCGATCTATCCATCTAATTATCTATCTATTAACCTATCTATCCAACTATCTACCTATGTATTTACGTATCTACCTATCTATCTATCTGCCTCTCTTTCTTTCTTTCGATCTATCTATCTATTTATCTCTCTATCTCTCTGTCTATCTATCTGTCTGTCTATCTATCTATCTATCTATCTACCTATACACGCACACATACATACACACATACAAACAAACAAACAAACTAACGAGCATACCTACATACATACCTACCTACACATACATACCTACATACATACTTACATACGTACGTACATACATACAGACAGACAGACAGACAGACAGACAGACAGACAGACATACACACATACCTTCTACAAGCGCATATATATATATATACATATGTTTCTCCTAGATACTGTATAAACTCATGAGAAGGGCAAGCGGGCAGTGCAGGGAACTCGGGTTGCCGAGTCTGAGCTTTAAGCACTTCTCGGGATCGTCGTGCGGCCTGAGCCCCACACCTCCAAAGACTTTAAACCCCTAAAGCCCTGAAGCTTTCAAGCCTAAAAACCCTGAAGGCCTAATAAAGGGGCCTACGTAATTACCAATACTATTTTGGGGGTTCCGTATCATATAACTACGGTATACAGGGCCCTATAGCAAGGCCCCTACATCGATTCTCCGAAGTCCTGAGTCCAAAACTGTCATTAAACTGTTATACTATAACTTGATAAGGAACCCCCCCAAAATAAATATAGGTAGTTATAAAGGCCCTGTATTACAAGGCCCGGACGCAGCCGCAGGACATTCCCGGCGTCAAGAAAATTCATTACTACGTCGGCCCCGAGACGAAGCGTGAGATGAGGCCTGCTGAGGGTCCGTCCGTGGGTTTTGTAGGGTTTTATATAGGGTTTTAGGGTTTTGGGGTTTTAGGGTTTGGGGCTTTGGGGTTTTAGGGTTGAGCGTTTCTTTTGTTTTAAGGGATTTAGGGTGTAGGGTTGAAGACTTAGGGCCAAAAGGGTAAAGGGCTTGTTGGGTTAAGCGTTTTTTTTAGGGATTGAGGGCGTAGGGTTGAAGGCTTCGGGCTAAAAAGGTTTAGGGTTCAGAGCTATTGGCGTTTTGAGGTTTATTTTATTTGGTGTCTGTACGTACTCGGGCTATTGTGGCCTGTGGTTTATAGGATGTACATGAGTTCTACATGTTTTAGGGCTAGTACTCTTTCGGGTTTAAAGGTTTCTGGACGTTGATACTTTTGGCTTTAGGGTCGTCTATGGTTGGCAAAGGAATTCTCAATCTTAACTTCCAGCAGGGGCTCTTTTCCAGTCGAGTCTCTGGTTTAGGGGACAAGGTAGAGCGTTCGCACATTTTCCTGCTCCCGCCGGTGCCAGGTACTACACAAAGTACAACCCAGCAGACCTGAAAACGGCCGGCATGGTAGATCTGGAGGAGAGCATTTGGGATGGCTCCTCGCCAGGCTGTATAAGTTTGGGATTCCGGGGCATGGTTTCAGAACTTCTCCAACGCGAACCCGCAAAACTTGCGATACTTTCTCTGTCCTGCCTGTGCTCGTAGCCTTTATAAACCCTATAGACCCGAAACCCTAAAACCCAAAGCCCTGAGCACTGCATGCATCGACAGCTGGTGGAGAACCCTAAGCTCTGTGACCCGAAGAGTCCTCTTCATGCTGCAAAGCCATGCAGAAGACGGAAAGAGACAAAGCCTTTATGGTTTGCTCAGCTGAAGCGTGTCAGATGATTTACTTGTTGTATAAGGGGGGTATACTAAGTCGGTGTGATCGAACCTCGACAATACATGATCATCGAAGTGAACAAAGCTGCTTGATAGTCTTCTTCCGTCTTTACCAGTCGTGGCACTATTGCTGCTGCTCTTAACTGTTGCCGCCCGTCGTTTCTTTTGCTACAGCGATTATTGGAACAACTATTGATTCTACCACTGATGCCACTACTACCGCTGCTGTTGCAACTGCTACAGCGACTCCTCCTCCTGGTACTCCTAGTCCTAGTCCTACTCCTATTTCTACTACTACTACTACTACTACTACTACTACTGCTACTACTACTGCTACTACAATTACGACTACAACGACTGCGACTGCACTACGGTATGTAGTTTTGGATATCGGTAGATAGACTTCAGGCCTTTGGGGACATCTGCTCTTTGGGCCCAGGTGGCAAGTACGCCATCATCATCCAAGCATCGCCACTGGAAGGATTTTCGGAGAACTTCGTTTCTCCCCCCGGTGGCCCGCATCCCAGCCGACCGGGTCTTCGGCTTTGAAGTCCCCTTGGGGTAGGTACAAGTAGGGTTATAAGTCTCCTGAGATGGGCAAAACAAGTATAGTTACTTATGGCCCTACTTAAAAAAGCGCATGAACCTACGAGTATCCCTCTATGACTTGAAATTGAGAGAGTTTCGATCCAGAGGCTTCTCGCCAGTAGCCCTTAACTTTTTTAGGCCTCAGACCCTTAAACTCGAAACACCCTAAATCTTTAGGGTTACCCTAGAGTCTAGATAATCATAAGAATAATGTAGCCCGGAATGGTAACTAACATATATTGCTAACCCCAGACCTGTAGCACAAAAAATCTTAAAACCCTAGACCCCTTGTGAGGTCCAGAAGGCTCGTTGGGACGCCTCGAGCCGAGCTTTGCGGGGAACGGCGCGCCGCTCTACATTGCACCCTGGCGGTTTGAGGTTTAGAGACACGGTGTTTATACAGGATCTGCTATGCTTTAGTCATCAGTTCGGGTTGATAAACCCTAAACCGTAAACCGTAACTTTATGGTGGGGGGGTTTTACGTTGAAGTTGAAGTCTTGGGAATTGCGAGGGTGCAAGGGGTTGAGATGTTGGAGCAAGCGAGAGCCACCTACAAATCCTATGCGGTCAGGTCTATGTGGCCAAGACTCCCCAGAAACAGAGTCCCCATCCAGATCTCGAGGTGTTGAACTGTAAATATCCATTTGCGTTTCACGGCCTTGCCAGCTTTGCACAAGAAGCTGCTGCAGCTGATGGCCTTTATGCTGCTGCTTCTGTCGTTCTGCCGGCGAGGTTGATGACTGTGATGGTGATGATGATGATGATGATGATGGTGATGATGATGGTGATGATGATGATGATGGTGATGAGACTGATGATGATGCTGTAGTTGATGTTGGTGATGATGATAGCAGTAATGACTACTTGCTACCACTAATTACCATTACCCACTCTACTACTACTACTACTACTACTACTACTACTACTACTACTACTTCATCGTCGACTACTCTTCCTGCTGATGCTGCTACTGCTGCACCCACACACCCAAGTCAAGCATCTCAGGTGGTCGGTGAGGAGGGGACAACCAACTTCCCAAAAGATCAGCACCGACCTCGGACATGAGGGTGCTTAGCATTTTGGGAGTTGTGAATACCAAGTCACAGTACTGTCTACGAGCTATAAGCTTTACTCTATGATTATGAGGTTACTATGTTACCGGGTTTTCGAGTTTAGGAATCGTGGTCTGTTTTACCGCGCAAGATCATAAGTTTTGGCGTGCCTGCGAGGCTTCATAAGAAGTTCAAGGACCACGTGCTGCAGAAAGGCTTCAGGGCCTGTCATGTGGATCCTTGGCTTGCATAAAGTTGCTCCTCAGGATTAGCGGCCCACCCAGCACCCTAGATTCATCCGGTGCAACGCCATCCTTCACTTCAGGGCTCCAACAACTACATGCACTGGAGAACCGACTTCTTCACCTCCTTGCCGGCCATTCTCATGAAGGAGGCGCCAAGAACCCAACCCTCAACCCTAAACCCCAAAGTCCTAAACTTCCCTGAACCTCAAATTCCACGCAGCCTCGGTCATGCCAGGCCTTGCAGGACGAATGGAAGAAGGCCGTGGGTCGAATACCTCCAGACATGTCCAACGTCTTCATCCGCTTCAAGGTAAACTCGAATGTCAACTACGCATCTTGGCGATTGCGTCTCTAGGGTTTCGGGAGATTCAGGGAGGATGAAGCAGATTGGGTTGATGGGTCTAGGGCTCAGTCTTTGCTCCTGTCTTTTGGGGCGATTGGGGAAGTCAGCCGTCAGAGACTGCATCTACTCCCAGACTTACAGTCCTAGACAGACAGACCTTGTCAATCGATACCTAGCATGGGCTGCTGAAACTGCTGATCCGTGGTGCAGCAGAAGCAGTCATGCCAGATGTGGTTGTTGTGGTGGTTGTGGTAGTGGTTGTCGTTGGTGCAGCAGCAGCAGCATGAGGAGGAGGACGAGGAGGACGAGGAGGAGGAGGAGGAGGAGGACTTG